TTTTTTAAAATCCGATGTGTGGATCACATAATATTTCAAAAATTTTAACTTTTGAGTATAGATGATCCGCACTGTAGGAAATGTATGACTTTAGATATTTTTTCTATAAAAAGAAAAGATCTTCAATAAAAAAATTTTTGAAAAATTCCCAATTATTTAATTATTTAATAATTAACAAATAATAAAAATACTAAAACAATTCATTATTCATTTGTAAAAAAAATCATCCATGGTTGATTGCTTCAAGCTATCTAAATGGAATTTAAATAATTGTGAATGAAAATTCCGAAAAGGAGACAAAGTATTTAGGTTGTAAGAAAATTCAGAGGGGGGGTTTTTAGAAATGATAAAATATTTTCCGAGCACTTTTAACTGGTATAGAAGGCACAGGTTCAATTTCTTCGTCTTCATCTTCAGCAACTTCATTATTTTGTGAAGGACATACTGTTTCAATAATTTCTGCATCAGAAAACTCTTCAGAAACTTCATTATCAATGTTTACAAATTCCATTGCTGAAATGGGTTTGCTAAAATAGAGTTTATTTATTTCTTCTTGTAATTCATCAATCTCTTCTCTTATTATTTCATCATTATTTATTTCTTCTTGTAATTCATGAATCGTATTTAAATCATAATCTGGCAAAATTTTAGTCTTCTTCCAACAATTAACTATTGTTGATTGTGAGACTGTATCCCGTGCTTCACCACAAAAATTAATTGCATCCAAGATATTAGTAGGATCTACCGAACTTTTATTGTTGTTTATTGTATCATCATATGCATCAACACGATTCTTTACAAGACTTTTTCTGTATTGAGCTTTAAATGAATTGATTATACTGGCATCTAATGGTTGAAGATGTGAGGTGGTGTTTGGAGGTAGCTAATGTATATTAATATTTGAAAGTTGTCCAATATTAGTTATATTGTGCGTAGAAGCATTATCAATAAGTAAAAGTATATGACAATTTTGATTTCTCATTTGTAAGTTCAGCTTGGAGAGAAAATCTTCCCAAATAGAAAGCTGCATCCAAGCAGTAGAATTCCAGTAATAACTTACTGGTAAGCTTTCTTTATTAATGCCATGAAGTGGTTGAGGAGTTTTAAATCAATGGATAAACAATGGTTTAAGTTTAACACTACCTAATGCATTGCATGTAAGCATTATAGTAACTCAATTTTTTGATTTCTTGGTACCAACAACAGGTCCAGTTGCTAACGTTTTTGATGGTTCAAGTTCCCAATACAATTCTGTCTCATCTGCATTAAATACATTGTTTAAATCATATTGCCTAATGACATCTTTTAGTTTAACATGTTCTTCTTCTAATGTATCAAGTGGTGCACTCTGACCTCACAACGATTGTACATTAAATCTCTTTTTAAATTTTTGCAACCAACAATCAGATGCTGTAAAATTATTAATTTGAAGCAAAACTCTAAAGTCCAATGCCTTTTTCTTAAGAACATCATTAGTTACTGTTAAGTTACTTATGCAAGCACATGAGAACCAAATAACAACTGCTTCTTCAATTTCAGGAAATGCAGCTTGACAATTTCTTTTTTTATTTAAGTCTGTTGTTTCTGAATCTAAAGCAAGATATTTATCTTTATTTTTAAAAATTTAGAGATTGCTGTTTGAGTGACATTATATTTAGCTGCTAATTCTTCTTGTGTTGGTTTTGGTTTAACTAAAAGCTCTTCACAAATTATATGTTTTTCAAGTTATTTTTTGTTCTTTTTTTGTCAATTGAAACTTCATTATCATCTGTAATTCTATGCTTAAATTGAAAGCTCGAATTCATTTTTTCAATGGTTAATAAAGTTCTTAAAATAATGTGACTTGATGGTTTATCCAAAAAACCAAATTATTACTTATGTAAAATAGTCAATATTTTTAATGGTTATGTAATGGTTACATGAGATGTGAAATTAAAGAGCGAGATTTATTATATGATGGCATATAATAAACAGTAATGGAGGTATGACTTTATCAATTATTGAGATTTTATTATGATTATGAAATTATCAAATGGGATTTTAATATAAGTGGCATTGGTTCCTGAAAAAATTATGAATTTAGGCAATTATGAATTTATTGAATATGAATTTAATGAGCTTTGACTGTGTGTAATTTTACTGTGACATTGATGTTATCAATCAATCAAAGGTTACTCAACCGATTTTTTTTATGTAATCTGATTGACGTCAGCCAAGAAATCTAAAGTAATAAATAAGGTGGGTTATTCACATTTTAGGATATTAAACACATTGTCGCTTAGATTTATATATATATATAAACAGGTAAGTAAAAACAAATCTTTAACCTCAAAAATTACCTTATAACAATATGAACAATTCTGCTTTTGCAAAAGGAAACGATTTTGAAAAGAAAGTTTCTCGAGTACTTACAAGTATGAAGGTTGATTGTAAACGAGTAAGGTGGGTTATCTCACTGAGTGATTGTTTAGTCATTATGCATCTGAAGTTACGCTGTCACTAGGAAGCACGACAAATAGAGAACTGGAAGCTCCACGTGGCCACCGAGTCAGGTTATTAGAGCCAAGTAATCGTTATTGAAGCAAGATTCATCACCATAGAAGAAAGGCTCCATTCGATAGAAGAAAAATTTAAATTTTTTGCAAGTAAGATTAGAGATGGTCAAAACCGAATGATAGATAACCAAAACCAAATGATGGACGACCAAAACCGAATAAAATCTAATCAAGTAAAAATCATATTATTAATAATTATTTTGATTACTATCTATCTTTTACCAATATTACACCCATATTAAGAATTAATATAATATGTATATAATTGAGGAAATTTATTATGTTGAAATTGTTAATAAATCAAAAGTATAATATTTCTATTGCTAATGCTACTAGCAAAAATTTTCTTGTTTATTTATATCTTCAAGATTTTTAATAATTGAATCAAGAGAAATTCTTCCATTTCTAAATGATGACTTGTATATCTTGTGTTTTATTTGTTTATTGAGTTATAATTTTTTTTTTACAATTTATAATTTTAAGAGTCAAATAAATAAATTGTAATAATTTGTATATAATTTTATATTACCCATGTTTACAATCCCTGACAAGAAGACGTTGTGTATTCTCACCAAATAACCTCAATAATTATCCAACCATAAAAAACAACCAATCTATCTTTATAATAAAGTGAACATGAACAAAATTATGCCTTACAAATGAAGTTTTTCCAATATCTGGTAAAATATTTTACGATAGATCTTCTATGTGGATATTAATATGGATTTATTTGAAAAGAGTTTTCGATTTCTTGTATTTGTCAGTTTTTTGATCTTTTCTTTTTTGGGTCCCAATCTTCACTAACCATCGACTCTTCTTTTTTACACAATAATCAATTGCTTCTTATCTCAATATGATCCCGCATTTTTGATCTTTATGAACTTTTTAATTCACAATATAATTGAAAATGTAAAGCACTTTTTTCACATTTTTCAAATTGCCATGCGATATTGGATATGAAATTACCGAGATTATTCATACTGAATAAAGAATTATAAAATTTTAAATATTTCGAATTTGCTTGTTTTAAATCAACATACAAATATATATGATGACAGCGACAATATAAAATAATAAAATATATAAATTTAATTAAATTGAGTAGAATCCGTTGTAAAAAATAACTAACCATTAAATTATTCTATTTGATTTTTATTATAATGAGATGGGATAAAAGTCAATATCTGCAGATTAGCAGCATCACCAACAAATATTATATGCACAGCCTAAAGAAGTCGTAGCTTGTATATCCTCAACAGTAACTCCAATACCGTATGAATTTAGGTAACTTTGCTGGTACATGAACCTCCACTATTTGAGAAAACGGTATTCCAGGATTGATTGGCACAACAATTGGATTACTTACGGTAATCTTAGCTACAGGATCAAAAAATACAACAAAGATACTGTCAATTTGATGGTGGGATGACTTAATGTTCTAGACATAGTAAAAGTATCAGTTTATTCAGGAACAGGTGAAAGTTGGACATTGAGTTGAGGTGGTGGTTGTTTTCCAGGTGGTACAAGAGGATATTGATTAAAGATAGTAGTTCTTTTAAGAAATTGATGTGGAATTGTATTGACTACCATTAATGATGTATGACAAAACTTTTGACTTTAGTCATTGACGTAACTAAAGTATTGACTAAAGGTAGTTTCTCACCAGGGCCATTTTGACGATT